TCACCTCTGCCTCTCATCCTCTGTATTGAACCAAACCCTGACAAACATAATATAATTCAGAACAAAGACAATGATTTACGTTGATTAAGCAGTAAAATAGAAGGACAATAAAAACAAAGTAAAGATAAAAACATGAAATATCTGCACTGCTCTTTGTCTCGATTCATATACTTCAGATCAGTAAGGACAGTTAGAGTGGAAGTGAAACAGTTAACTAAACCAACTCAATTCATGAGTTTTTGTCTTACTATTATAAATAATTATAAGTACAAATGTGTAAAATATAAAAGTAAAAGAAGCACTGTTTTATAATATTTTTGTAAGGTCCAAGCGTTGATGTCATGTGGTTGGTTAATACTTCATCTAGAATTGAATAACTCGGATTTAGTTGTGATACGTCAAAACCATAAAACACTTAAAGACTTTGGTATGATGGAAGAGGAAGGTCCGTCTACATCGACTCAAGCCGTAGTAGGGAGATAAGATTTGTTAGTTTCGTCTTAAGGGCTACATCTAATGGGACGTGAGAAATCACTCAGTATACTGCATTGTTTGTGGTCTTGGGAGTGGAATTTGTATTTGGTTTCTGTAAACAAGACTGTAAGTGTTTAGAGTTGTGCTGGATCATAATAGTTTAATCATAGAGGCACACTATAATTCGAAATAAATCTGGTTCATTGCCTAACAGAGTGAATTTTGGTTTTGCAATGTTGTCATTCCTCTGTGGGGTTTTTTCCAGTTTATTTTGAATCATCACATTTTTGGGGCTATTCCCCTGCTCCTGTTGATTCTTTTCCTGAATAAAACTTTGTTTCCTAAAATCCACTGACAGGCATCTCAGACACTGTTAAAACAGACACTGACTATGGGCACCATCAACTTTAATAATACATAGGCTAATAAACTTTATCACTGAAACTGAAGCACAGTCTTTTTTGTCTTTTTTGACTCACTGATTTGAGATGCATGGTATAAATGCAAAGGGTCTGCAGTTAGTTATCCATGGACGTCTTAAAAGAACATATTTGCTTTTTGAGAAAAAGACATTTTCAGAAAGTCAAAACTTGATGGAGGGGGGTGGGGGTTGGGGGGGGGGTTCTGCGGTGTGGAGGTAGGGCGCATTACCCGTTTACCGGCTGTGTCTCTACCCTCTCTTGTAACCCACTTTCATATCTGCATAAAACTTGCTGTAGAAAAGAAAGAAAAACAATCAGGACTTTATTTACAAATTGTGCGCAAGCACACAAAAAAAACTTGTGTTGTAATGGTTTGTGCACATCTCGGGATGTACAAACATTAATTGTTGATGTATGCAGAAATCCCTCCAAACTCTTCACCTGCAATGATAATGTGAGACAGCAACTCAAACTTTTCCAATCAACAAAAGCAAATGAAAAACTTATATTTTTGTTGTGAGCTTTTATAGGTGAAGCCCGATTAATTAAACTGAACTACATTTAGTCTTATACAATAACAAAACATATATTTAAGAATCATAATGGGTTGACACTCTGAACCTTTTTATTTTTTAACAAACTTAAATATCATATCCACATTCTATCCTCTAAGAAAATATTGTTGCAGTCTGGTTTCTGGATTAACACTATAAATTAAAAATAAAGTTCAGTAAAATGTGTTCGAAAGATTACTACTGCTCATTTTAGGGCAATTAATTGTTGGTTGTATTACAGTATTTTCTGTTGATTTTATATGGTAATATAATGTTTGGATTGGATAGCTGTTGGAGCTGTTGGAGCTTAATGGTTTTCGACTATTCATTTTGGACAGCGTTTTTTTGCATATTTATATATATATATATATATATATATATATATATATATATATATATATATATATATATATATATATATATATATAATTGCTTGTTCGTTGACATGTAAAATGTCATTTTTGTACTAAATTGCTTTACTTCTTTCAGAGGGTTTATCTAGACGCAGTTTCTTTACTGCAACGCCATTGCTTTGCGTAGAGCTTATTGGTTAAAACCTGTAATAGGACAGTTGGCACTTGTTGCGAAAAAACTCGAGATAAAGTAGAGCTTATCGTTTAGCTGTCATCATTTTGTAGATTGTTTCAGTGTTTGGAGCGCTGAGTTCAGTAAGATGCATTACAGTGTGAAATAAAGTTATTTCATGCCATAATTACATTTTACATGTCAAGAATTAATCCACAATCCCCTTTTGGCAAGTAAAATAGTCATGTTAACATAACTGTTAATAGTGTTTAATTTCAGAATGTAAAAAATAAACAACCCACAGCGCGCACCCCTCCTCCCGCTAATCTATGGGGGGGGGGGGGGGGGGGGGGGGCGATCCTCTCCGGTCACTTTTTGACGCATCAAAAAAAATAAATAAAAGAAAACCTGTCTTTTAATCGTGTTTTTAAACATCTCTTTGCATATAAGCTATTCTCTGAACGAGGAAAGTTCCTTTAAGCTATTTTAGTATAATTCTAACTTTCACATCTCGCTTATTTCACGCCAGTTCTTAAATTAAATTGAAAAACACATTTAAATGTGTGAGTGCGCATGCTCCGCATTGGACTATAAAAAAACCCAGCTTTGATCAAACGTCCAGAGGACCAACAGAACATCATCATGGTATCGCAGAGGTGCATCGATGAAACTACCTACTTCAATCAGGAAACACGCACGTGTATTCCATGTGAAAGAAAAGCTGGTAAGATTCTATTCTATTCCATTCTAATCTATTCTATTCTATTCTATTCTATTCTATTCTATTCTATTCTATTCTATTCTATTCTATTCTATTCTATTCTATTCTATTATACTCTGGTTTTGTGTTTTGTTAAGGGTTTGAAGTTTACCCTAATTGTGGACGGAGCGATGATGGTGGGGTACACTCTGACACTTTTAGAGAATGCCCATCCAACACTTTCAATGACGGGACCTTTGATAAATGCCGGACATGTTCCCCATGTCCAATTGGTCTATTTGAACTGAAACCCTGCAATTCAACATCTGACACCGTTTGCCAGGAAGAAAGGTGAGAAAAATGCAACGATCAGCTCTTATAAACTCATTCTGCTTGAAGTGTTTGGTTTGACCCCCAAGTAAATATTGATAAATATATTGTTTTTCCTCTCCTCACTCATTACTGAAGCAGATCGACAGCAGCCACTCTCTCTGTAAGTCAGATCGTGCAAAAGCAACTTGACTTACTTTATCTCAACATCTCAATTTAGGTTTTTTTTTTGTTCTTTTGCTTCTTCCTCAGGATCCTGCAACCACCTTTGCACCATCCTCCAGCACCGCAGCTGCGGTAATTTTTCCGATCGTTATTTGCATCTAAGAACAAACATTATTTTTGGTGACGTGTGAAATGAGTCCGTCAGTAGACTAACTAGGAAATAAACCCACATATTGCTAGAAAAAAAATTTCCCCGGGCGCTGTGGTTCCTGCGGTAGTTTAGTTTAAACTCTTTCTAAACTTGTTTCCATGTAATATGTGTTATCTTCATGCATATTTCTGTTATAATAGATAACATCAACTATTGGCGACCTTTGGACTAAATCAGACTGAAGGCAGCAGCGCTGTTTTCACTATTTACTCTGACAGCTCCTTTCAAAACGATAAAAGAAAGCTAAAATCCCTAGGGGCAGGGACGTAGCCAGAAAATTTTTATTC